ACAATGTGTGGCGCTCGTGCTCTACGCCAATCGAACTGTGAGCTTATAACCCGTAGACCTGTTGTCTCCCATGGCTAGGTTTTACGGCAAGAGGGCCATCGACCACTTCCTAACGTCCGAAGAGGATGGACTAGGATACTGGCAGGGCGCCCACACCTGACAGGAGTATGACTCGGGTTCTCAACCAAAGCCTTCGATTAACTGAACACCCGAAAGGCAGCGGGTCTAGCACATGGTCAGTTCACTGACTCATGCGGATTGGTGTCCTGGATATTAGCAGGGAAAAGGGCGAAACCTAAATCCCACCCAGCGGTTGCCACGAGGAGGCGTCCATGACATGAGCAAATGGCACAACAGTAGCAGCAGTGGGTAGACCATATGTCAGGATCTAGCCACCACCAGCCTCAGCGCACCATAGGCGCTCCCGCATATATATATATATATATATATATATATATATATATATATATATATATATATATATGGTTGGCGGCATCCGGTTTCGGATTTGCCTGTCACTGTGGCAAGCCATAGGACGCCTGCGCCTACAGAGGGACCATGGATGGCTTGCGCTGCACCACCCACAGCTCCAACCACATACCCCATATCCAGTGTAAACCCGAAGGAATAAGACCGGGAGGCATGCGGATGGGAACCACGTTTCATCAACGGAGCCGGCCCACACTCCTTCACAGGCAAACACAAGCACGCTGTATTTGGGGAATCAACCGCACACAAGGCGGTGGCTGGACCGTAGTCCGCTCCACACTGAGTGCATGGAACCGCTCTTTGAGCCTAGCACGGCCACAAGAACCGTGCACCCCGTCCCCTTCAGCAACGACCAACTGTCTCCTGGAGCCAGTATGAACGATGTAGTGGGTAATAGACAGGTAGGCACCTTGTCAACATACACATCAAGCGCAACCATACCAGGGATATCAAACAACAGCCATTCACTTTAAACGACAAGCTGAAATAAAATGAATCCAATAATGTATACAGACACGGTGGCATAACTCTTCGCTGAATTACCATATGAAGTAAGTTGGTTAGCAACAAATCCCTGATAAGTAAGAAATGTCTACAAGTTACTTAAAATGCTACAAACGCAACAAAATTACCGAAGATAAGCGCAATTAGTGTAAGCAACGTGGCCAGTTAATAGAACATTATTCAGGGAAGCAGAACAAACCAAACAAAGCGGAATGAAATTTATCCAGCTTAAAAAGACCTAGTTTAAGTGTAAGTTGGTTTAGCCCAACTGCGGTGAAGAAGCATCAAGAATGCAGCATCAGCGTCAGCATGGGGCATATATATATATATATATATATATATATATATATATATATATATATATATATATATATATTTTCGTTAATTCCGGTGGCATTGTCGTAAACGTTTGCAGATAAACTCATTATTAGGGATATCGAAACCGTCGAATTAAATATCTCACCTGCTATGGCTTCTGGTCAAATACAACTGTAGATGAGTGTGATCAAACCGACACCCAATCTGCTATTTCTGACTTGATCGGGACCTCAAACGCAGTGTTCTATGCACTTTCGAACGCCTGCTATTATCTTTGTTCAAAACATATTTGAACCCTTTCGAGTGTGGTTTCTGATCAAACATGGACAGATGTCATTTGCTTCTCATATGTTGCATTCCCCCATTCCAAGTCATTCCTGTATGATAACTTTCCACCACCACTCTGTATCGATACGTCGTGAACACTAATCACACGTTTTGACCCTTCTAACTTGTAAACAATCGCATGCTACCTTACCTGCTCCAATACTAATTTGCAATCGACTCCATAATTCGACCCGGTGTACAACTGCCTGAGTCTAAAGAATAACGGTAGACACGGGAGCTGACAAAGGCATCATCTAGTTGCAGTGACTATTGACTGGTCACTGAAGGCTAATCAGAAGTGCATAGGTAGTTAGCGACATGTTATTATTAGGCTTGTTTTACGACTGCTTGATGACCCAATCCTCGTACCAATATTTACCTCCCGTAAAATGCAATTTTACCCCTTTGGGGGTTATAACCCACAGGTCAGGAACCCCAGCTTTATACCAAGCCATCGCTTGGCCTCCCCATCTTTTCTTCCATCCAGACGCCAGCACGCGTAACCAGCGTACAACCTGGGAGTCTGTTCTGATATTCGCAACACTTGGCTCAACCATTGGAGCTTGCTTCGTTAAATAACGATGCTAAGCGGTTCACGCATCCTTTCTACATCAAATACGCAACACCGAACACGCTCATTGATCACATGGTGGTTTTATCGGACATGTACTAAATTGCGAATGCGGCAGTGTTCGAACGTAACTAACCTCTGTATGTAAGCAGATCTAATGCGCCAGATTTCGTAACCGTACAGGAGGGGTGAACGAATGGCTGCATTGTACACTCTGGTCTTCAGGGTGAGTGATGTCACGTCGGCGCCACATGTAGCGGAATTTTGCAAAATCACCCCGAGCTTTCGCTATGCGGTTCGTTACCTCATTTTCAATCCCACGGGCGCTAATACAGCTGCCCAGATACCAACATTTCCGAAGGACTTTAGCGGATCACTGCCAATGGTCAGCGCAGGAGTGGGTCTGTGGCAATCTTTGAGAAGCGCTTTGCGTTCCGAGGGTTCAATGCATAGTCCGAAACGACTAACAGCCAGTGCTAATTTATCAAGTGCAGCTTGGCACGTTTGTGAGCTATCACAGATAAGGTCAATTTCGTCGGCATACTCCAAGTCAAGAAGTCTTTCAGCCTCGTGCAGCTCTACACCTTCTAAGTCATGCCCAGCGAACGCCCTTTTCATGGCTTCATCAATGGCGAAGTTGAGGAGAATAGGTAACAGCGGCTACCTTATCTCACCGTTCTAGATATTGAAAAGCGGCGAAAGTTTGCCGTAAACTCTCAATCTGCCCGATCTACACGCGTATAGCGTTCGGATAATATTTACATATTTCTCGGGCACACTTTTCCTGGGTATACAGTCCCAACGGGGACATCGACAAACAGAATCACAGGCCTTTTTGATGTCTAGGAACAAGACTGCGGTGGGTTCCCAGTAAACATGGCGGTGCTCCAACAACTGACCTAATGTGCAGATGTGGTCAATTCGGCCTTCATTTCGACGAAACCCGACCTCTTCGCGCATCTGGCTTTCACGGGTGCCAATTTGTATATGAAGGACGACAGAAGCAAGGAACCTATGAGTAGTTGAGATCAAACAGGTTCCTCTATGATTGTTGCATTCGGAATGGAGCCTCCCTTGAAAATTGGGGCTGTAACAGAGCGGCTCCAGCCTGTTGCGATAGTCTCCTGCTTCCATATCTTATGTGCGTCGTCCAAAAGACAGGTCCTCCGTATTTGAAGGGGGATGGATAAAGTCCATCTGTTCCCGAAGCCTTGTTCAGTTTCAGCTTTCCGATCAGGTTTCGGCGCGTGAGGGTGAATTCAGCGTGATGGCCTACGGAGTAGGGCGATCATTGGCCGATGGAGAAGCTAGCAACTCTGACTGATTGAACTGCTTCTCAAAGTGCTTGGCCCGACACTCCAACTGCTTTGACAAGCTACGGATCGGTTGTCCACTCTTGTCGCATATAGTCTCTTTAACGCCGGGTCTCCTGTGCCCGTTCCTCGTATCGGACGGAATTACGGTGGTTACCAAGGACAGTGGCCCTTTCCATTTCCGATGCACAATGAAATTACGCTTCACGCTTTTTCTTTAGGCTAACACGCAGTTTCGCCCTGAGGTCTTTGCCACTCTCATTGTATTCGCTTCCAGCCGGAACACGTCGGCGAGCATCCAGAATTTTCAGACTGCGTAAAGACCCTATGTCCAGTTTGTCGCTTTGATTTATTACATGAAGACATGCCTGCTGCTACTAACCTCTGGCGTATATGCGACCAACGAGTACCTGGGCAGCTATGTTAGCACTTGTTTGATCAAAGATGGTCACAAACCATATAGCAATGAAAAGCTCGAGGTGCTTTTGCTAATCTCCGATACAAGTGTTACCGACGCGACATCACTCGCTCTGAAAAGCAGAATTTATAATGCAGCTGTCCGCTCACTCCTATCATACAGTTGTGAAACCTGGCTCGCTACGTTCGACCATCGCTGGCTTCGAAGCTTAACTTATGTTTGCTTGGACCACCGCGTGAGCAATGGGCGTCTTCGGCGTCGCGTATTTGGTGCAGGAAGAACGAGTGTACCGCTCAGCACCATCATATCACGCACCAGACTCCGATGACTAGGCCACGTGCTGCACCTGCCAGCCCACCGTCTCCCGTGTTGTGCGTTGTTTGCGCGCCCAAAGTCCGGATGGAAAAGGTGGAGGGGAGGTCACGCGATGGCTTTTTCTAGAGGAATGTAAATTGTCACTTCGAACTTGACGTCGGTTGGCGCATCCCGATTGCCTAGCCGGGATCTGTAGGGTGATGATCACCTTTGGTTGGACACACTTGATATGGCGAAGAGCCGGCCCCAATAGCGTTTATGTTGTGCGTTTCTTTGTCCATTTCCCTTTGTTTTAGATTCCCCTCCAATTACGACCTTATTGCGAATAAAAACCTTTTTATTGATCTGATCTTTTATTGCGACACAGCTGAGGTGTGTTTCTCACTCTCAGCTAAGATGTACCTTTCCCAACCTGAATTTTGCAGAGTGCGGTCCATTCTTACTGAATAGGGAAGCGGTGAAATATCTCGATTTTTCGCTGTTATCTTTTACTACCCATGTTCACATTTTGAGGAATTTTCCCCTCTGTGTGAAGCTGCACACTGTAACCTGCATTCATCCCCACTCATATATGTGTTCATATGTGTAACAGATTGCACAGCGATTCTCGTCTCAATTTTTTTTCAATACTTATTCTGACGAGAGTTTTATCATCTCACACTAGTCAACATTTTTTCGTAGCCCTTTTGGCTTTACCCAGTTTCTGAATGCCGTATCGATCTGACAGCTATCTGTTTTATTTCAGCTCACATTTCCGGGCCGTTTCTTACTTTTCTCTCAACACTCCCACTATGCCCCTTGAAGATTTTTTTTCCAAAAAAGATAAAAAGAAATCCAAAAAGAAGCATAACCCTCAAGATTTAATCGAGCGGCTTACGAAGAACACTGTCTTTTCTTCAGAAGTAGAGGACGCACCTTCTGACGTCGCTAAGGTCACTAATGTCCTCCGGGTATGTATTCTTTTTTGTCGAATGTTCGTCTTAAGGATAATGATTGGGCGCTGATAGAGGACGAAGAAAAGGATATCGACCTACAGAGTATACGAATTGGCAAGCTAGCTGTCGAATCCTCTGATGACGCCACGAAACCTCCCGGCAAAGATAAACACGATCAAGGTGCCGAACCCAGCGACGAAAAGCATAAAGTTGTCTGGGGCGGAAAGCCGGCTGAAACACCGGGTAAGTCAATCAATCATTCTCATTACACTGTATATCGATTTGTAGCCAGTCGGAATCTCTTTTGGGGCGGGCGACCTCGCCATATCCGTATTCTCCGCGCGACTAATGTGTGGTAGCGGGGCAGCTAAGCTTCGGTACGGCGCACCGATGCTTAGCTGATGCAAAAAGTACAAGTCTAATGGCCTATCTGGTACCCTTTAGCGCTGGATGATACGCTTTAGTTAGAGTCACTTTTCTTTCTTACCTATTTTGGGCTGCTTGTCTAGGCTAGTGAACTGACGCAGATGCCCTCCCTTACTTGAAATAAGTAGGACGCTAAAGGCTTAGTTTCATAGCGTCTTTCAGTTCTCATTGCTCAAACCACGGTTCTACACATCTATCTCTCAGCGAGGGACATCAGTAATCGTTTTTGTCGAGGCATCCGTCGATGCTAGTGTGTGAAGCTCAGTTGTATCGATTTGCTATCACTGGTCAAGATACGTCTTGTTCCCATGTTAATGTTCTCGCGTTTGGGTCCAACCCCTTCTGCACACCATATTATATCACGCATGAATTATTTAGATACTCATTAGGTAAACATCAGCAACCGCATCCCTATCCCTCTACGTACATATCCAGATAGTCGGAATGAGTGTTGTTCGGCAAATGCTGTTTAGGATGGTGTCACTCACTAAGTATGCGTTTCTATTTTCCTTGTTTCGCCTTCGTTCCATTTTGTTAGGAGGATATGACCACCACATTTTACCAGCCGGCCTTCGATACTCCTTACCCTACGCTTGTTTAGTCGCTTCTACAGACGTCAGGGAGAATTCGCTTACTTCTTTTATAAGGGACATGTTCAATTCGATACCAATCCCACCATCCACATCATCAACAAATCGAACGGCTCTCCCAGCACGTATCACCACAAACGAGATACGCGCTTACGCACTACTGATGAGTTCTGTTTGACGATATGGTCGTCTAGCACCTTACTGTAGTTGCGACGAATCTCTTTCTAATAGCCATGTATCATCACACTTGCGTTATGATACCAGTAACATTGCTCACGAAAAAGTGCTTATTGTTGTGCGGAGGTTTTTCCATCGCGACGGACTGGATCTTAGCTTGGTGCGATTGTTTGGGTGATAACGTTCCATTGAGCTGTGTTGGCTGGGACGTTTTATACTTTCACGGCTACTCATATCAGACTAGTCGGTGGTCAGAGGCCAGAAAAACAGCCTCCTCGTCCTCCAGCTTGGAGGTTAGAGTGAGAGTGGCTCTTCACTTCACAAAACTGACTCTATAGCCCAGTGCCCAAACCCCGCATTGCGGTCAGGTTTTTAAACATAATTCTTTGGTCGAGAACCCTAATTGTTCTCCTGCCTAAGCCTGGGCAACTTGACAGTATTCTGCCCACGGAATACAATGAATTTATCTTCTAACCATATTTTGATATCTTTGCTTTCACAGTAGGTAATCAACAGCGTCTTATCTGCTACCTCGAGCAGTGTGAATAGGAGTGAGAATGTTACTTCTCAGTCCTCATCTTCTTATTCCTTTTTGCGCCTCATCATCCTTATCGTCTTCTTTTAACTTTACCATTGTTCTCCTCTGTTCTTAACTCCCAATTATCGACTCACCCTTATTTCGCTTCAGTAGTCGCTTATCTTCTAGTTCCGATCCACACGCAGTCACAAAGTGTCGCTCCCGTCCAGTTGCCAACTCCATGTTCAACCAATTGTAGGTCAGTTCATCCGTTCCTATCTGGAGTCCTAGTTCTTCGTTGCGCTTTTTGTTACAAATTGGCAAACAGGGACCGCTTGCCCGCACACTAGAGACCCAGTTGATCCTTATGTGCTGTTTATCGGATACACCTGCATGATTCGAGCTCTGCGCCTACCCAACAATTCCTTTTACTTGACACTGGCGGCACTTTCTCACTGCGTCTATCCGGAGATAAAACAGCGTCGAATGCCGGGTATGCCGGACAGGGCCTTGCTGTGAGTCCCCAGACCGACACTGCTTATGGCTAGTCAACAGCCGAATGTGTGCCGTGAGATGGGCTGGTTCAAAGCTTCGAAGTCGCGCGGGGATAGCGGTGTCCATTTGTCATTCTTGCACACACTCACAAACTGCGGCTCTGATTCGATGAAAGCCCACTTTTATAACTATCTGAACACGCTCCTTCGTTGCAGAAAATGTACAAATGCTCTGGTGCTGACTGATGATCTGAAGACTGTCCACAACGAGCTGCATCTGGGCGGCCAATACGGTGTAGTGGTGAGCGGTTGCTACATCAATGTGAAGATGCTACTGCGACTGTAGGCATGAGCAACTACCCTGACGGACTAGAGCCGCTCCGTTATAGTCCCAATTTGCGATGGACGCCCACGTACGGAATGCGGCAATAACAGAGGACCAGTGTGATTCCAATTGTCTTTAGGTTACTTGGCTCTACTTGTCCACAGACTGACTGGCACCCATAAAAGCCGGATTCGCGAGGAGCAAACCCCGTTTCGTCTCAGTCGGAAATGCATTGATTACATCATCACACTGTGTGTTGTTTGAACACCGCCATATTTATTGGCAGCCCACCGTAGTCGTGTTCCTTGACATTAAAGATGCCTTCGATTCGGTGGATCGATGTGCCTTTTGGGACTGTTTGCTCAGGAATGATATGCCTTTTTAATGTGTAAATGTCATAAAGGCGCTGTCCGCGCATAGTTCGGTTAGTGGGAGGACTTTCGTCTTTTTCTTTTTTACTTTGTCATCGACGAAGTTATGGAAAATGCCTCTACTGGGCACGATCTGCACTCCTACTTGATCGACTTCTTGCCTTGAAGTATGCTGACAGCTCCCAAACGTGCTAACACTGGACAAATTAGCGTTGGCTGTTACTTGTTTCAGGCTGTGCTTTGCGTTTTCGAAATGCAAAGTCGTTCTCCAAGTTTGACAGAGACCCACAACTGCGTTGACCCTTGGTAGGGATCAGCTAGAAGTCTTCAAGAAATTCAAGTATTTTAGCAGCTATATTAGCGTCTGCGGAATAGAAAGTGGTATCACGAGCCGTATGGCAAAAGCTCGAGGCACTTTTACCAATCTCCAACATTTGTGGCGCCGGTGCAACATCTCTGTCACCCTGAAGGGCAGAGTTTACAGCGCAACGGTGCGTTCATTCCTCCTGTACGGTTGTGAAACCTAGCCCATCAGCTAAACAGTCATAAAGGGGCTCGCTTCGCTCGTGTCTGGTGGGAGCACTATATGAGCATTGAGCTCGTTCGATGTTTTGTATTTGGTACAGCTAGAGCGAGTGAACCTCTCAGCATCGTTATATCCCACAGCGGGCTCCGATGGCTTGGCTACGTGTTGCGCATCCCATCACGTCGACTTTCGCGACGTACGTTATTTGCGCGACCGCGATTTGGATGGAAGAAGAGAAGGGGAAACCAGGCGATGACTTGGTCAAGAGGAATGATGATACTCCTTTCGGATTTGGCGTCGGTTGGGTCTCCCGATTGCTTGCTGGGGCCCCAATGGTGAGCAAACGTTTGGTTGTATAAGCTTGTTGACGTGACGAACAGCGAATCGCAATGACGTTTGTGTTGTGAGTTTCTTTGTTCCTACCCATCCCGCTTAGCTACCTTCTTTAACCACGATGCTTAATATGATAATAAGAATTCTAACCCGAAAACTCTACACTTCACTACGCGTTTTGACGTTGCTTGATCTCATTAGGTATAGATAGCAGGCCTCGATCCCGGAGCCGTTGGGATGTTAGTTGAGAACTCTACCCCTTTAGCCACCGGGTCACGACGGTCAACATTTGGTACAGTGGTTAATGCCTGACCGAAGAGCCATTTTGAAGTACTCGTTGTGTGATTGGATTGCGACACGCAATCTCAGTGTGGGCCGTGCTTCCCATTGGAGTGAAGCCTAGTCATTCGATCACTAGAACCGCAGTCGAAACAGATTGAATTTGGGTATTGCCCGCCCGAAAACATTGCATTCGGTAACTCGTTTCGATCCTATTTGATCTCGTCAGATAGGGATGGCAGGCATCGAACCCTGAACCACTGGGATGTTAGTTGTGACCGTGCATGTATCTGCACGTATCTCGGATCTTTTTGGAGGCGCGCGCAGATAGTTAAACGGGTGGTGCTCTAGTCGTCGTCGCTTGCGCACTCTGATTTTAACTCAGCCAGGTGGATTAAGTTGTTGGCCATTCTAGTGAGATTGACTTTTATGGCATCCATCAGTTTAGGTTAACTCATCATGTTCATCAACAGCAGTAAATCAGTAATTTCAACTGGTGACTTATTTCCGTGCAGCAACTATGACCTATGCCATGAGGAGGAAAGGTGGGACTTGCTGTATAATCCTAATGATTTAGGCAACATTTAGGGCCAGCTTACTTGCATCTTCTCGACAACACTGTCGCATATAGCTGGTTGTAGAGGGAAAATACCGTAGCGTTAGCGGGACAACTTCTTTGCGGTTTTCACTGCCGTGCGCTTATCTGGTGACGGTGAAGCTTCGAGCGCCTGCCAAGCCGGTATTGGTCTTTCCCTGAGCCTTCGGGCTAAAGCTGCTCTGGTTGATTAGCTCCCAATCAGTTGCCGGATGTGTGATCCGATTGGCTGGCTCGTTCAAAGCTTCGAAATCGCGCGCGACTAGTAGGTATCTTCTATTCTTCATCGCTGTCTACGCTCCCACAAACTCTAGCGCAATTTTAGTGTAAGACGACTACTGTCGCTAACTGAACATGCTCCTTAGTCACAGTAGAAGCACGGATATTGAACTGCTGTCTGCGTTTTAAACGATCAAGTTGTAAAATTATCCACTGCTGAACTGCGTGTGGGCGGCCAACATGGTGTAGGGTTCCGTAATGATAACGGTGAATGGTTACTTCATTTGTGTGAAGATGCTCGCCTATTTCTCGCGGCCACTGACTTCTGACACAGCATATGCCGAAGGGTGACACGACGCCCACCAGTTATAGATGCAAGCCGATCAAACTGCTATCAGTTATCGCTGAAGAGGCTGCGTCCAAAACTGTCGCTCGGTTTGGAGCACATGTGTGGACACTGACCATGCACTTGATGTGCGGATGCGTTTTGGCGGACGCCAACGACGACGCTGTGAGCGCATAGACACCTAGCAACTGGCGAAGCCAGGTAAATAAATAGATAAGGTTTTGTTCCTGACCATGCGAGCTACCCCTCTAGAGAGATGTTCAGGGAGCTGCTGCATGGATCAAAGACCGATCGGAAATAATCGAATAGATGGATAAGTGCAACTAGATATTTGACGTATGTAAAACGACGGTGGAATAATCCCAAGATGATTAGTTGCGTCTAAGCAGTGGTAAGGGATGGTAGGTTTCGAAATGCTTTTACAGGTGAGGAGAGTTCACTCGGAGACTACGGGTTATGTTTTATTATGTGCCACCGGTTTTCAGTTGACGGAAATGCATGTCTGGACCTCCATCACGCGTCACATGGTGCTCACTATCTCGGCTTCATCAAACTACCCGACTTCCAGATTTCTTGTCCATCACCAAAAGTCAGCATCTGCAATCCAGCGATGTGAGTGAATCTGCCCAGGGGCTGCTATCATCGAGCGATGCGAATCTAATTGATACGGCTAGTGCATCCAACTCTAGACATCTGAATAGTGATGCGTTTCCAGAGCTTCGGTTAACTTGATCGGAACGCACCGAGCCACCGGTCGGTACCTGCCTAGTTGGGGATGGACTTGCAACATGCCATCCCGCGTAGAGCTGCTGATGGTTGCCTGCAAGCGATTCCGGCGTACTGCTGCAAGTTTTTGCCTTACTTTTTATACAGATTGATTCTTAGGTGTGTCCCTTTCAGATGTTTTACATCACTGCAACATCGCCCGACAAAGAAGCCTAGGAATAGACCGGGAGCGTTGGTAAATAGCGTTGATCCGTTTAATGGAACCTACCCGCGCCAATAAGGCACCAGAGTACTGTCCTATACAATCCGGACACATGTCAAGGAAAGGTTTTGGTGTGTGACACGTGGTTCATGGTCAGTTGCGTCAGCTCGAACGCTGGACTGAACACCCTAGGATGGTTTAGCCGGTCTGGTATATTGAAATGATTCATTTTTTTTCGTCCTAACTCACGTCGCACATTGGCGTGAAGACTTCGGCGAACCCAAGTCTAATTGGTGACCTTGAGGCGGAACGAACCTCTTGGTCCCCATGACCATTTTTGCTACAAAAGGATACGTAGTTTGACTTATTCGTTTAAATTATCCGGTGTAAAGAAGTCTTCCGAATTGCGATGATCAGCCCATTTACACGCCTTACAAGAGCCGAAGAAACTGGAGATTCAATTGCCTTCAGACTACTCTACTACATTGCTTTTCGACAGCCAACTACTTGTTAAAATCAAATAAAAGCAACTCATATTGGCTTGCATTGTGATGGAGCGCGCCTTGATCCCTCTTTCCTCTTAGGCACGTGGGCGTCCTCTCGTTTCTGGTGATCCTCCTTGATTTTCTGACTGCCTTATTTCACTTTATGGTTATGGCAATGCCGAGCAACCAATATCATGGTAGAAAAATACCTCGTTGTGAGATCTGCCACGATTCCCACACCATCACAAGTGGACCGAGCCAGATTTGCGCTATATCCTTTTTTCTGTTCAGCTAGTTGACCGAGCTGGTCAACACCGATATCCCTCTTTTGCTAAAGTTCTACCGTGTGACGGCATGGCAGTATCGAGTAGTGCTACTATTCAGGTCAGACCCAGCCTCTGTACTAGAGCTGCTAAACAGGCTGATACAGAGCGCTACGGGCTTCGGCATGTGCTTTGCGTCTTCCATCGGAAGGGTACTGTTGCACGACTAGGCAGACGGCTGTCTGTTCCAGCTGTCACGAAATAGCAATTACATGATCGACTGATCCCGTAGCTTAGTAACTATGTCACCTCTAGTGGTCATGTCACTGGCGAAAGTATCACACGTAAGACTTTGCATTCTTGACCATCTATGCAGACGGAAGGATATTGGGATTTTTATAGAAGACTAATGCAATAACCTGGGGTTACTGAACGGTCACTTCTTTGTAACGCGGCTACAAGCCACTCCTCTCTGTCCACCTATGCTTGCAATGTTACTCATATCTTGTAGGATCACCCAGTGAACCTTGCTGAACTACGCCGGGCGCTGCACAGAAGTGTAAGTTAAACGTTTGCTGTCACGTTGGCTAGATCACCTCCTTCGTATGCCCGTTCATCGCCTACTTCGACGTACTTTTAGATGGGCGGAGTTTCTGAACAGTCAGTCGATGACGTTAAGTGGAATCTTCCTCAGGACTGTACAAACCGTCTTCATGGATAGGTGATTGGGAATGGGGTACATCATTGGTTAAAAACCTGTTATATCACTTATCCTCATAGTCTATGGCGTTTTTGCATTCGTTCCATGTTCACATTTTAACCCAGTTTCATTTGCTCCTAGGCTATTTTTCTGTAGACTGTACTCTGCGTTCAACCGAATTGAGCAGAATCTTCCGGAAAGCCACGAAATCTGACACGTAGCACTTTCTTAAATATTATTTCTGCATTATTTTAGTTTTTTACTATACAACCCAGTTTAGTTTATTTGTTTTCTTTGTTCGCATTGCTTGGTCGAACGCTTGCTCATCTTACAGCCGCTGATTAAGAGCGGAGGAATTCTATCTTCCGTGTTCGCTTCTCAGCCTACGAAGGTTCGTTTACGCCTCATCTGTTATTGGCTCTTTGTGGACTTTCAGTAATGCTATTGGAAGTGGATTTACCAATAGTTTTCTGACACCCCCGTCTTTCTTCGGCAACTGCTGCTCGCATGTTTTTAGAACACGAAAACGCTGGCACCAGTGCAATTCGCAGACATTTATGTTGTTACGTTCTTTTGCGGCATTTTCTGCAACACTTCTTTTAAGCATTTCTTCATTGCGTTCTTCTCGTTATTTGATACAAATATCGCAAAAAAGACGCTGTAACTTAAGCGAATCACCGCTAGGTGGCTTCTAGAGTTTGTTATTCTTAGCAGTGCACGTAAGCCGGTTGTTTAATAAATGAGCTCATTTTCACGTGGTCTTCACCTTATTGCCTCATCAGCTTCAAATCCATTTTCCGGTTTATGTTGACACTTGTATATAAGATGTAAACCACTTGATATCTTGAAAAATATTTGGAACCGATCGGGAAGTCATCATTTCAGAAGGTGGATAACCGGTTACTATATTTATGATGATACACAATGTTTCGCTTTTGACACAAAAGCTTCGTCAGGCCACTACTACTTTTTTCCGATATTATAGTGGTAGAGGAACCGAAACCCGAGCCTGAGCCTGAGCCCGAATCCACTGAACCCAAAGTATACATTCCTGTGCACCTTCGAAACCCGAGTGACAAAGGACCGAAGGGTCCGAAACCCAACTTTGATATTATCGCTGATTTCCCCACTTTGGACGATGCTGGTGCGATAGAACAACCAAGTAAAAAATCCGTTGATGATGGCACTTGGAATCAAGCTGGTGCTTCGCGCAAACCGACACGCGCTCCGGATATGCTTCCTATTGCTATCAATCCCCCAACATCAACTTACGTCCCGCCTAACTTGCGACAGAGCGCAGCTCCTTTTCAGCTTCCAAGGAACGAAGTGGTTTCTGATTCCCGAGAAGTTCGTTTTCGTGACTCCATGCCTACTCACTACGAGAACTCTGGTTTAGGTCGTCGATCTGATATGTCTCGCAATGTGCTTGCTTCCTCAGATAACGACTGGCCTCGAGGCCAGCCCGTGAGAACTAGCCATATCCCCTATGGCAGCTCTACCACCAACTCCCTCTTCACGACCACATCTCGATCCAGTTTCACCTTTGATGTTTCTGGATGGGACAAAGGTGCAAACATGAAGACATTCAGGTAACTGGCATATCACGCCATAACTTATCGTTTTTCAAATAACCCCCCCCCCTCATCAATCACTTGCTCTTGCTACATCTTCCTATAGCGTCTTTGTGGGCTATCGGAAAACTCAGACTGTCAACTGACCCAGTTATACCGGTTTGACTGCCTTGTATACTCATTCCGCTTTAGTTTTATCGATCATTTCCGGTTAATGACATAAAATCACTTTCACGGTTGCTAGGCATGCTCTTTTGCGAGTCCGTTTTGTTGCCTGCGCACTATCCATGTCATCACTCTCTGTATTGCTTGTTTCCCTGAGTGTAGTGTAGGTAATTTGCTAGCGAACTAGCTAAGTCGACCATACCATTTGTCTTTCCAACCTTTATTGGCAAATTATCGATGACATCGCGTTACCACACGAATTAGGATCTTATTATTATACGAACCAGTCACGAACCCCTTCGGGAACGCTTCTTTGAATATTCCAACTTGTAACAATGCGATACAACATTTGATAAATGAATTTCGGCTGTCATAGGGATAAATGAAACAACCATGGACAAGGAACGAGAGTGAATGGTGGTATTAAACATGGACTCGTTGCTGCCAATCGTGCGATAAACACACTAATCACATTTGCACCGCTTTAGAGCAGATGGCCCTCTTGTGTCTGAGTAGTCTGCTCGCCTGGCTTGCAATCATAAGGTCGCCGGTTCGAGTCTGTGTAGGGGCGGGCGGGCATCCTCGCGGCATATTCAGCCCACGCGCGCGGCTGGTGGTCGTCGCGTGGCAACGAAGCCCTGTTACGGAGTACAGCTGGTGATTTATTTTAGGACAGATAGGTCAGAAACGACCTTAACATTCCGCCCTCACTTATGGAAAATTGTTGACCATATCCGCTCTGAAACGACCTCCATTCTAACACCGTTTTTCATCTACTTAACCACTTGATTCCTCATCTGTAAATCGAAACCATACCCTTCCAATTCGGACTCGTCGAATTTGTTCGTCCTCTTTCACCTTGCTGGCATGAGAACACAGTTCACGAATCTAACTTCCTCCGTAGTTGTCATCTACTGTCATGCAGTTAAGCTCTTTTACTGTTCTTAGTCATGACTCACAACCTATCTGTTTGGGCTACACTGGACCAATCTTTTTGTACTGTTTCCATTGCAGAGAACCAGAAGGAGAGAAAAAGGAATTTGAATTAACTCAATCTAATCGCTTTGCTGGTCTCAGTGGAACGTCGTGATATTATCGGGGTTGTAATTGACAACACTTTTTCCATCCGTACGGTCATCTTGCACAGCTGACACAACTGAGCCAGTTGTCAAAGTACTTTTACTATCTCGACCCTGTGTACCTGGCCTCTTCGTTCTGCATCGAGCTCTGTGACGCCAATTACACTAAACGTGCCTTTGTTTCTTTGGATTTTCTGCCTCCTAAATTGGCTCGTCCCTATCCCTGCCGCGAGCTACTCGTATATGGCACGTTGCTCTCGGACGGTTTTGTCAGAGTGTCTTTTGCGGTGTAACCAATCGGCTTATTTTCCACTGCTTCTTTGTTTTCGCTTGGCGAGGCACTTTTCGGTTAGCCTCGTTGGTTCACCTTTTCATTCATCTTGATTCCGCGCTTTGTGCAGTATGAACCGATCGATTTTCTTATGCTACACCCTTCGCCTGCGGGTGATTTGTGCTTTGTGTCTGAAATAGAGTGATGTCGTTTTATCTGGCTACTTTGTATCGGACTCTTATTTGCAGTTGGATTATAGACCCAGAAGACCGTTGGTGAGATAACCGCAAATTTGATTTCCATCTGAGTATAAAGAAACTCAGCTCTGGTCTACCATTGTTCTTGCAACACTTGCAGCTAAGCTGTACACCACCAAAGGGACACTAAACTTCGCATGCACACTATTTCTACCAGGATGTTGGTACGCTTAGCCATGTTTCTCAAATCCTTAAACGAATATTGAACGTTGTTGGCTGAGGTATATTGCTCAATCAACGAAATCGTTGCGGCTTCCGAAAATTTCGTGCCTACCGTGTAACCCATTGTTAATATTAAACCGTATTCGGCCCCTGACCATGACAGCATGCTAGCTCGTCGAAATTATTTTACTAGCCGCGATCCTTGCCTACATAAATTCTACCTGTGTAAAGCGTTCTCTATTCATTAACACGTCGTGCACCATGACTCCGACTAAAACCCGTCCTTATCTGCCACCGTTATAACTTGTCGTACAACTCAGCGTATGGGCTTTGTTGCGTGTTTGGTAGTTTCAGGCGTACTGTGAACGTGCATCTAATCTCTGCGGCAGGCAAACATCATCTGACTGCCCTAAGGGTACCATTTTTTTCTAAAATTTGGCTGTCAACCTGTGACCTGGGGAATTCGGTAGTAAAATAGGTTTGTGTACAGTGAGTACCATTGGCATCACCAATCAGGACTGCGCACAACGTATTATGTCAAATGACCCCCATCGCTCCGCTTTGATTCGCTTTTGCTGACCATTAAGGACTTTTGAACAGCCATCGGTATTGGGTCAGGGTTTTTAGTTCTCTTCCTTCTGACCTCCGTTTTTCACGGCCATCATTGCCTACTATAGTTCATTGTTTTCGACTCATTAACATTTCACCTATGTTTGGGCTTAAACAGTTACTCTGATAGGAACATCGGAATGAAATCACCGTTCTGCGCGTGAGTTTTCATGTGGACCCTACGTTAATATTTTTGCAAAGCGTTCAACTCTATCGCTAATTTGCACCCGTTATGACAGCGCTCGGATGTGTTATATATTCCACCAGCATCGGCGATTCTAAAACAATGGTGCAGTAGGCCGCATACATTCCGCACTAGTCAATCCATCCGGAAGTTCATGTTGGCATTGGTGACGATAGGGGAAGTTATCCAGTGCGTGCATAGTGTTTCGGGCTGCCTGAACTCAGTGTCAACTAGTATCAACATGAATCCTATAGGTTACTTACGAAACCTTCGTGTGTTTTTAGCAAACAGCCTGGCTTGTAATCTGAGGGCGCGAGTTCGAGCCGGTCCTATAGAACCGGACGACCATCGCAGCATCCTTAACTCACCTGCGACTGGTGCTGTTTGTGCGACAACGAAGCGTCGGCACTGTGTACCGGAGTTGTGCTGCTGCTTTTCTTAACAACAGACGAAAGCTTGGAATGCGATCCATTTGGATCCTGAACGCTGCGTGAACAATATCCACCACTGCTCTTCCAGGAGGAGTGTTGGTATACCAAGCACGGCTGCGGTCACATGTTATTCGTTTGATTCAGGTGCGATGATTATACCATCGCCACAATTAATTAGAGTGTAGAATATGGGCAAACAGAGGGTCGCGGGGTTGATTTCAACTTAGGTTAGACTTATTAATTATCTGCTTCTCAGGAAGTGGGCACATCGATCGGTCCAAGTCACTACGAGTGAGATTTTCTGTTATACCCATGAACCGATGGCCTTCCTTCTGAATGCGAATCGGTTCAGTTGCTTACCCATTATCTGACTGCACTGGAACTGCGACATGGCTCAACGCGTGAGCTTCGCGTTTCTAATTAAATATGTTTCGTCTCACTACGCAGCAGCGATTTCAACATGCAGTGGACTTAGGATATATCCAGAACGTGGGGGTCGGTTGACACGATCCGCTTTGTCTCTAGTCTTCAACATGTCACTCGGTGATGCTCTGCAGCTTTCACCTAATAGGCGATGGGAGTCACCTGCGGGACCACTGGAGTTCATTGCATATGTCGGCAATATCATCTCAACTAAATCACTGGAAAAGCTGATTCTCAACAGTCCAAAAATTCCCATTTTTTAGATTGCATAAAGAGAAGCAAATTCAGTAAGGAATTCTTTTCGCTAATTCACATCAGACTCAAACATTACATGATGACGACAAAGTGCTAAATATGCTGGATTGGGCTGCGTATTGATCAGAATGTTTAGTTCCAACATAAACAAATTCATAAATCACGGGGTCATTGAGGGTGACAAATTATGTACATCGGAATTCACAGCAGAAGTTATAGACCACGGTAGAAGTAAAGGACGTACCAACTGTCTTTGTACGCACAATTCTAACTTGAGGTGCGGATATAGATAGCTTCCGCAATAGACAGGAGAAGCTTCCGGAAGTTGCGCGATAAACGTTCAGGGATAGTATAGTGGATTCTGAAATCGTTTTCCGTCCCTACGTGACCACACTGCAGTATATGCGACAGGATGGACCTGTTACCAGACCTTGCTTCCCTTTTGTAAAACCACCTCGGGATGTGTTCGTGAATGCTGTAAGATTGGCGCCTCGCAGTACGACCCACGTATTGATTTCTTTCTGTTGGAATTTCAGATTCTGGTCAATACGCATCGCAATCCGTCACATTTAGCACTTTGTCGTCATCATGTAATGTTTGAGTCTGATGAGAATTAATGAAAAGAATTCTTTACTGAGATTCTGCCTCCCTTGGTTCATTCTTATATCAACTCATTTACCGGTCGCGGCACCCTAACCAAACGCCTGTATGTCGCCCGTGAAATAAAAGGCATGTTGGCATATCAGTAAAATCAACGAAGCCTTTTGTTGTCAACATAGGTATCAACAAAACAAGAAAACTTACAATTTTGAACTCCAATCCGCTTCATTGATATTAACTGATAATCCCCTCAATAGGCCCTCAGAATCGTTTTGGTTGCTTGGCCTTTTCTTTGAGTGGCGCGGTAAGTTTTCACCAGTTTCATATGAAGAAGTAAATCGCCTCCTAGTAACCACCTAAAATCCATTAAAACCACTAGGATACCGTGAGCACAGTCCAAATATCCCACCGGATTCACCGTTTCTGAAATGTTCATACTTCACCAAAACTCGATTATAGCAGTGAACAGAATCATCAGAAGGATCATTCACAAATGGCTGAGGACATCTAAAGACGCATGTATAGGGTACTTTCACATCTTCAGGGAAGACTTTGGCCTTGGCCTCCCATCAATTTCCAAAATGCTTCCCTTGTATGCAAGGATGTACTGGAATGCTCCCTCTCTGAAGTCTATCCAATCAGTAGCTAAGCGATTCGTGATTCCTCTGTTGCCAAAATCCAAAGACGCCCTAACCCCGGTGCATGTGGAAGTGCAAATCATCGTACATGAGAGTTAAGTCAAAGCCGTTTGGAAGGAAGCAGAACTTATTTCCGTCGATGGAACAGGCCACCACCGCTTTGCCACAATACTTTGAGCCCACCACTGTTTGTGCGGTCCCCCCGGATATTTCCAAGTACCTTCATTCGTGGAGTTCAGCTTCGTGTTGGTGTAATTTTTACCAAAGTTAGAAAAATCAGCGGTAGGCCCCCGACTGAACCATTGCAGGGCCTGTGGACAGCGCGAAATTTTCAGATATTTTGCAAACCTGTGCGGCTGGAGTTCCCCAATTTCGGTTGCCGTTAAGTTGTGTAGCTTGTAATAAATGTTCCTTGAGTTTCTAATCCTTCACCAACAATACTTGCGATCGCACATAGCGCAATGTTTTGACCGTATGGTCGCTACTACCCAGTGAAGGGTCGTATGCGACTGACTCAACTATGAACACTACAGTAGTAAATATTGACTCCGGAAGTGCTGACATCTTTGAACCGCGGTGTCTGGTTGGTCGATGCATGCGGTTGTACAAAACTGCCATATCCATAAATTCAAGGAGTTTTGATTTGAATGATGGTTTACTGAGGGACAGTTCTACTATCGAAAGCACATTAAAGTCTTCTATTATATGGTTGTGAGAGAACTGCTTTGAAACAGCAATGTAGAGAGCGTTTGGAAAAATTTTGGTGCTGTCTGCGATTGAGTTTGGTGGCATGTAAATAACTGCTAAGAGGCAAGCATCACGCGTCTTCTGTGATCCAACCTCTCGACCTACTAGGAGCAGTCGACGAAATAATGCGTCGGGAATAACAACGAATGTTCGGTATGAGCCTCACATTTCAGGTACTCTCGGTAGTAGTTAGCAACCTCGCCACCGCTGGATGGACGATCATTCTGAATAGCTGACATTTCAGTGAGTTCAATCTCTGGATCCGGTATGTCGTATGACAGCCAAGTTTCAGTAAATGTTATTATGTCCTAACTTGTTGTTTTATGTCGTTGGCGCAGTTCTGGAAGCCTAGAATACAACCTTGGAGTGGTAGTGTAGCAGCATTGTATTTGGTGATGTATTAGGATTTCGGGTTGCTGTGTTTGACCGGCACAAATAGAGCCAATCTGCTGACGCTTATTGAAATGTGTGTTCGTACGGCTGGCTGATCTGAGGTATGAACGACCGAGTCTAACTCAACTTTATCTGGGTTCTGCACTGCTTGGAGTAATGGTCATAACCGTATTTCTGGTGGCCAAATCTTCCGGTTGTCATGCCAAGCTTGGATGGCCATTGCTATCATCTCGGGCGCAGCCAAGGTAAGTTTCAAAATCTTCGGCCCGTTGCCATAGTAGTTTTCAAGGCAACTAGACGGCAAACATCCAATGCTACGGCAATGTGTATGTTGTACAGCTCTGTGCTGTGCCTCTTGTTCATTGCTTTGCCTTTGTCATTTACTGTTTTCGCCATGCTTCCATTCGGGCACACCATGAACCAGCACCGCTTCCTTCATCTTATTTTGATGTGACACGCTCGGTTTGGATTTCTGCTTCTGAGTTCCTGCCGGTATCTTGTGCGGAAAGATGCGGCAATGCTAGAAGTTTTCACTAGAATGTGGCTCGCTAAGAGTACATCTTCTAGGTCCCGTGTGTTGCCAAATGTTACTCGCAGCAACCGAGATTCCCCTACGTGCGAAGCAAATGGATTTCGTGAAAGGCGTGTAAGACTAATTGGGAGGACCTTCAGTACCAGTGCTCAGGTTACCTCAGTCCAGTGATTTTACTCCTCGGTTTGTCTACCTCTTAAGCTAGTGGGTATTTGGACGTTTGAACACATGGCTACCATCACTTTATGGTTGGGTAGTAACTACTTGTTCTGCTGAACCTTGTGCCAAGTGCTTCCTCATGTGAGATTATGTTGTCTTGCGTGGAAGACAGGCCAAAGCTACGACAATACTATTCAGGTGCAACACTGTTACTCGCACTATCTGTAGGAATCAAATGCTCTTGCCAAGCCAATGACGGGGGTGATCGCGCAATGTGTGCATGACTGAATGCCTTGTAGCATTTCGTGAGACTTGGGTGATC